TTTTTAGTTATTAATTTTTTTATCATTTTAATAATTTAATTAAATAACGTGCACTAATTAACTAACACAATAAATTAATAACACTAAAAAAACACAATAAATTTGATAATACTTAAACAATTACAATAAAATACAACAAAAAAATCATAAACATCAATATATCATATATAAGAAAACTATAAAAATCAATAAAACATTAACGTTTCTAGATTTTTAGATTTAAATTTTCAGAGATTAACACACACACACACACATATATACGAATATTTTGTGTGTATTTCACATTTGTATCCAATTTTTTGTAAAATACTAAAAGATCTTTCGTTGACCTATTTTATTCTTTTGGGTAACAGATCAGTAAAGTCGAATAGGGTAGGTAGGATCAAAATTTGCAGATAATCAAAAATTTAGATACCCTTAGCCACAGCTCCACCAAGAACGAGCTAGACATTCAACCTTTCTAGTAATTTCTAATTCACAGAAATTACTATTACAAGTAAATGCGAACATATAATTATTAAAAGGGAACTAGGCTTTCACCATTTATTAAAGTCAGGCTACCACCTTAATTAGTGTCAAGTACACTTTTTGGACCACTTTTTGGGTGGTCCAAATTTAATCCAACAAGGCTAGGCTCACCAACGAAGTCCAATGGTGGGCTCTATTGCCCACATGCCAAATCACAACTTTGTGTGTGTGATCTAACAACGGTGCCGCCCCAACCGCTATGCTTTGTACAAAGTCAACATTCGGTAACTAACATGATTGCAATGGCATGGACGCAAAAGGGGCGACGATGATGATGAGACATGTGAATTGGTTCAAATTGGGCCCATATTTGTTGAACGTCATCAATTTGGAGGCCTCAAGCCCAGTGCATCGGGCCATGAAGTCCATCATTTCACCTGCCGACAGACGGTGATGGGCCCAACTGCAGGAGAGAGTGTGACAATTCACTTCGGAATGGCGTGATACCCACAGTGGATCTCACTGTTGTAGTTCATCTCTAATGATTTTGTGTTTATGTATCTCTTTGAAAAGGTCTATGTGGTTTTCATCAATGTTTATAGAAATTGATTCTCAGAGTTTCAAATGATCAATCTGAAATTGTACTTTTTGGCTTTTTTTTCCCATTTCCTCCAATAGTTCCTAAGAAGAATTTTTAGAATTATCTAACAGCAAGGGACGACCTAAGTTAATTTGGGACCCTAGGCGAAAATGTTATACGAGGCCGTATAAATATTTATTCAGTAATAATATTAATATTAAAAACTTATTAACATATGTTTATTTACAAATTATTTGTTTTGTCTTTTGAGATATAACATACTAATTCAAGTTTTACAAATAAAAATTGTGTTAATCGAAGTCAAATATGGAAATTAAATACAATAATACATACTATTTGTTTAAGATAAAAGAAAAACATAATTGAAAATTAAGTTGACTAGTAAAATAATTTTTTTATAAATATATATAAAATAAGAATTTATACAAGTTGAGTAGTTCTAAAATAAATGAGATATTGTTAGATATCATAAAGAAAAAGAGCAATTTTTAAATAAAAAATTTTAGTCAGACAACTATGGTTAATCAATTTAAGATAGCTAGTGTATTATTTCTACTCACTCTATTTTATAGTCATTTTGTGTATCGTAACCAAAATTATTAAAAAATAACCTCAAATTTAACTTATACAAATATAAAATTATTATTCATATCTATTATACAATAGACAATTGATTTTAATAAGAAGACTGCAAAGTGATAATACATATAATATAAATATCGGGTGAGATAAAAAAATAAGCTGAACTTTAGAGCCCTAAATTTTTTTAAAAGAGGTTCTAAAATTTTTACAATAATGCTAGTTGCACTTAATTTGAGGATTAAATACATTAGATAAATAGTAATTTTTGTTTAAACTTGGCATTCACTATTAATTCAATAATTAAAATATATTAAGTATTTAAATTATAATCTAAAATAATCATTATTTATTTTTTTTTGGGGCCCCAAATTTTTCTTCCAATTTGGGGGCCCTAGGCAATGGCCTAAGTGGCCCAAAGGTTAGGTCGGCACTGCCAACAACGTTATTATTTCTGCAAGTCTCAAACTTTTTATTAGGATAAAGTCAGCTAACATATCTGGATTCTAATTTAAAGACAATAAAAATTGAATAACCAATTACTATGACACGGATAAATGAAAACAACATCCAGGAAAAGGAGTTAAATACCATTTTCTTTTCAAATTGACCCCTTAATATTATATTGTTTTGAAAGATTATTCCTCGTTAGGGTAAGATTTGATAGAAAAAGAAAAGGCAGACAGAAATAAAAAAAAAAAAAGGAGGATGTTCTTTTTTTTGCCTTTACTTTTCGAAATTGTTTTTTTACTTGTCCTTGTCGAATAGGGGCATAGTCATGGATCCAATAGGAACTAAGAGGAAGGGTCTATACAGCTGCAAATGTGAAAGGCTCACTATGTTTTTCAAAATCCAAATTTGCAGCCTCATATCTGCAGATATTAAATCAAAGTCAAATGTCCATAGCAACACAAACAATCCCAACTTTCCAACTCCATTTTCAAGGTTTTGGGATTTGTCTATGCCAAGTGTGTTGAAGGAGATGAGTAAGATATATAGACGGATGGAATGGAAGGACTCGAGCTGCCTATATAAAGTTTTTGGAAATTAATTTGTTTTATTTATTTTGAATGAATAATGGTTAGTTAATAAAAGAGTGGAAGGGTAGTTATAAGAGCCAAATGTCAAGTATTGATTGGATTAATAGAATTGAATAAATTAAAATTCTAAAAAATTAACACTATAATTAATCTCTTTTATGTTGTACACTTATGCATAGAATTTTTAAGGATCACTGATCAAATAAATAGTATAACTGTGTCATCTTCTTTTATCGATTACAATAAAACGTATTAGAATGTTCATCCCCTAAAATATTTTTCTAGCTCTATCCCTGGCCTTGTCCATGGACTTTGAAATTGAATCAAAACTTTTATATATAAAATAATTAATTAATTTTTTAGGGAGAGGACTTGAGAAATCTTCCCTCTCACTTTTCTTATTTTTAAAATTTTGAATTATTAAAGTCTTGGTCCTCCAACTTTTTTTTTTTTTTTTAAAGTCTTCATCCTCCAATCATATTCAACCAAAAGTCTCCAATAACTACCTTAAACAACTACCCACAAACTCCCTTTAACCATGGATTATTTAAAAAATTTTAAACATTAAATTTTATAATCCAACAATCTCAACAATATTTTTGTTAACTTATAAAAAAATGGGTGAGAGATAACAAATTGTGAAAAAGAGAATTGGAGAAAAAAGAGATGGGTCGTGCATCGTATAGGATTGAACCTTAATACAATCTATATAATAAACTAGAGCTATTTTTGAACTCTCAACTTATTTCGAACTAATAACTTCTCAAATTAGTTTATAGATCTACTGGCGTGGAACTCATTCGATGCACCTAATTTACAAATTTTCTCTTGCTCTTCCTTCCATCCTCATTTAAAAAATTAAAAAGTTATGGATTACTTGAGCATTTAAAGCATTATATGAAGTTTTTGGAAATTGATTTGTTTTTTTAAATTTTGAACAAATAATGATTAGTTAATAAAAGAGAGGAATGGTAATAATATGAGCCAAATGTTGAGTGTTGATTGGATGAATTGCATTGAATAAATTAAAATTCTAAAAAGTTAAGAAATTGGGAGAGAAGCTTTCTCAAACCCATTAATGTAAAAATTTTCTGCGGAAATTTGTGTTAATTGGCCTAATCTGTTATCCTTATTCTTTCCCTTCCCTCTCTGCATCAAGCAAGAAAGACACATAGCCACATACGAAGCTGAGAAGAAGACGAGCTTCAGATATTTGGACCAACTGCAGGAACTGTTCATCGATCTGTTGGGAACTTGCTTCTTCTTCAATGACCTTGCCAATGGATTTCTTCAATAGTTCAATTACAGGCAGGCAAAGGGATCTTTAAAACCCAATCTTAAGTAAAAGTTCTTTGCCACCCTGACGAAAATTTCTACAACCACTACATCCGAATTATTGGGTTTGATCAGTGAAGCCAAACTACTGTTTTGAACATTAGGGAACGTTAGTCAAGGAAGCCATTTCCCAAATAGGGTTTTTTCGGGTGTTGTGTGTGTGGTTTTTTTTTTTTTTTGGGGGGGGGGGGGGTCAGTAAGCAATCATTTGGAAAAATTACATTGTTTAACAGATCAAATTACACAAACATTTAGAAGTAACATCTGGTGCTTTTCCCTCCTCCTTTAAAGGGCATGTCTTGGACCTCTTTTTTGGCCATTTAGGATCCACAGACAGATCAAACTAATTCATACATAAAATGGACAGACCAAAGTATTTGAAGAAAACACCCCACCCCTTTCTTCTTTGCACCTACCATAGCATGCTTAGCCCATGGCATACTTCTGTGTCCAGCTCCTTGCAGTAGTCTCGTACTTGTTCCTGTCTGTCTTGTACATGTGAGCAATCTCTGGCACCAAGGGATCATCAGGATTTGGGTCCGTCAACAACGAACAGATTGAAAGCAACACCTAGAAATGAAAAAAGTAACCACTTACACCCCATAAAATATGAAGACAAGCAATCAATCTAGACAACCATGTGTTTCAATTTGGGTGCATGAAAAACTTGACTATCAGAGCAATAAATGAGGAATACAAGACAGGTCGGGCCCTTATGAGCTCAGTATCTTGCAATAGATTAATTCACTTGATAAACTGGGTCAATAGAACATGATCTATCAAGTTTGCAGGGTGATAATGCCCTGAAATCACCAGCATGAACCGAATATGGTTGTGCTTTTTCTGTACTAGGTTAGGCTAATTTCAAAATTTAGAGGTCTGTGGTTCAAAATTAGAACCTTGGAAATGGTTAGGGCAGGGCTCCATTGCTCCTTCAAGATGTCAAGGCATATGCTTCCATTGCTATTGATATTTGGGTGAAAGACCTTTGTTCTGAATGCCACCTGCAAGTTTCGTCCACATGAATGCGTGAGAAATGATGAGTTTTGATTATCAACACTAGAAAGCCTAAGAAATATTGAAACATGGAATGTCAAAAGCAAAAATAAATTAAATTAACCATGAAAACATCCAAACAAAAAAAAAATGAAGACATCCGTTAGTTCATTTCTTGTCCAACACACAAAAGTGAATTAACCTCATGTTCATCCCAAGCTGTGGAGTATAATTTCCTGACTATAGATGTCAGAATACGCATGGAGGAGGATTAGTGGACTAGAACAATAATTTATATTGAAGTAGTGATAAAGAAAGCTTATATTATTTCAGGGGAAGCTTATATTATTTCAGGTGAAACTTACGTCCATTCAAAATATAAACATCCATTCTTGTTAATAGATATTGGGTGTAGAATGGCCTAAAAATAGCTCTTCATTCACCTATAGGACCTTAGGTGGCTTGAACTAGAGTGAATGGGATACCTTGGGTGGCTTGAATGGATAATCCGGAGGAAAATGGATGGTAACCAGAAAAACGCCGCCAGCATAAGGACTGTCCGCAGGACCCATAATTGTTGCTTGCCAGTGGAACATGTCCTCCGCAACAGGACCTTAAACATACACAAAATTACAAGATAGGCAAACAAATAACACAAATGAAAGTAAACAAAGGTCAAAGTTGCAAAAACAGCAAAATTCCTAATGGAAAAGATATTAGCTAGACTAAAACAACAAAGTACATAAATGAATTACATTTAAAGGCAATTCAAAAGTTAGAAACACACAAAGAACCACACACACAATGAAGAAATTAAGAGAACAGAACAGTTTGCAGGGGCACAACGTTAGATCAGATTTCTCTTCAACATGTAACAAAAAGAAAGATAGAAAAAGAAATGGTCGTTTTTAGCAATGTAGAACATGATTAAAGGTTGGTTTTGTCTGGCTTTTGGGACTTCCAAGCCCTTCACGACACAAAACAATATAGATCTAGAAGAACATAGCATCTGCCAACTCTGGCATGGTAAACCATTTGGACCAACAAATCGGTGCCCCAGACATATCACAGGCTGGCCCATCAACTGATTGGCTATTTGAGTTGACACTGTATGTAGTAATTATGGATAATTTGGAATGTTATCACAGAGACATCTATTCTCTAATCTCTCTTTAGTAAAAACTTAAGCCTCCGCTTAGCATTGTTATAGTGGGAGTGCCAGTTTACACTATACACACATGATCACTTTGTTTTCATGTTGGGGAAGGGACAAGTATATTTGAATATCGTTCAACAAGGAAAAAGCACATGTATCTGATAAATACCAATAGAAGTATCTCTCAGGCACAGCAACATAGACACAAACAGAAACGCAATTCCTATTGCAAGGCGTGACTTTACACAAACAAATTGAACTTTATAACCACAAAAAAGTCAAAATGGTATGTTTACGACTTTGGCAGCGTTTCTAACAATCTTTCTCTCTTTTTTTCCCTTTTTGGTCTTACTACCATTTCTAACAATCACAGAACAGCTTTTCACAAATATTCAACCATACAGAAAGTAATCATCTAAAAGAGCTTCATAGACAACATAAGAGGCAAAAATAAATAAAAATCAAAGAGCACGTACAGGAATGGATCGCAAAACACATGTATATAAGCATATATAAAAAGCTCCTCTTTAGGGAGAGAGACACAGAGAGAGAATGAAAGGTAAAAGATTACCAGCGCTGCAAGAGGTAGGAGGATCCTTCTGAAGATCCTTGAGCTCCTTCGTGATCCGCTTTGAAGCCATACCAATTCCTGCGATTTCAACAGCTAAGACATCTCAGATCGACATCATCAACCTCAAAACTTAAAAAAACAAAAAAAACAAAAAATTACAAACACATACATGTATGTATAAAGAGAGGGGGAAAGGGAGAGAGAGCTGTAGATGTCAGAGATTCACCTGAGAAGAAACAAACCCCCCGTCCCTCTGTCCGATCCAAAGAAGACGAAAGACGGAGGAAATAGATGATTCCGTTGGGGGTGAATTGGCTTTTTATAGTTATTATGCCATCCAATGGGACTGATTCTTCCGACTACATTAAACCTGCTCCAGATTGGGTTCTTCTTTTGTCGTGGGGCCGGGCCAAGCCAGGCCAGGCCAGAGATGGAACATTTTGTAAGTAATGCTATTTATTTTCCGCCGAAAGGAATCACCCAAATTGTTTTTTAATTTTTTGCGGGATAGGTTTGAGCGTGACGACGTCGTTCTGTGTTTAGTTGGATCCAGAGAATGAGCAGCTGGGGGGCGGCAATCCTAGCGTTGGTTCCTTGCCATTTGGTTAACCAGTCAACTTGTTGGTTCCTTTCCTCCATCCCAGATTCTACGGTTGTTTCAACCCAAGCCACTCTTTTAAAACTAATTGATTAGTTTAGGATAAACTACATTTGGACCCCATGAAACTTGTCATGTAATCAGACAGCCCCCCTCAGGTATTAAAAATAACACCGCCCTCCCTTGAAATTTGGTTTGTTATAACACATTGCCCCTTATCATTAGAATCCGTTTAAAATGTCGGCCAATTTTGACGCTGTCAATTATTTTTGAAATTAAATTTTTTAAATTACCCCTTATAAGAACCATAATAAATTAAATAAATCCCACAAAACCCAACAAATTTTATAAATTGCCATAAAAAAAAAGTCAACCCTAACTCTCTGTCAACTCTTCAGCCACTACCCGGGTAGCCATCAACCTCTTTTTCTTACCACCATTTACCCAACGACCACGCCTCCTCTTCTCATCACCTTTTAACTAACCATGGCCTATACAGCCACCAACCCCCCCCTCTCTCTCTCATACACAAACGCACACACAAAGAACAAATTAACCTTGTAACTCCTTAACTCTCAAATTTATTTTAGAAAATCGACCATCTTCCACTACCAAAGCCCAAACCCCCAAAATACACACCAGACTCTGTAAAACCATAAAACCCCCAACACCTCAGTGGCCACCATATTTTTGCCTTCGATTTTCAGGTGTTGTTGATGGTTTCATTGTCCCAAAACATACATTAGCAATGGAATTGTTCTAGAAAATGGGTTACAACGAGGTGGAGGGAGGGGTATGGAGAAGATAATGGGGCTATATCAAGTGAGTAGGGATGGACAATGGGTTTTTCAATGGGAATGTGTGGTGAGTGTAGCGGTTTTGCAGCGGTGGGCGAAGGGTGATAGTGGTGGTTACAAAGGTGGTTTTAGTAATCAACGGTGGTGATGAAGTAGGTTTGGATAAAAATGTCACAGAGGAAAAAAAAAACTGAAGATATTTTCTTGGGTTGATCAGGTTAGTTGGTTTAGATTTAGGGTATGCTATTTGAGTCAAGTTGTTTTTTTTTTAAAATCAAAGGGTTAAATAGATATTTTGCAACTTTTATTAGAGTTGTTAACGGGTTGTTATTGAAAAGGGTCTCATTGTAATTTTTCAAACGTGAGGGGTTCATCTGTTTAAGTAACAAATTTTATAGAAGCTAAGTATAATTTACCTTTTTAATATTTTAGAAAAAAAAAATAAAATAGCCATTCAAATCATATATCATCACCTTTATTATTATTTTTTTTAGTAATTATTATTTGAAAATATTTGGAGGTGTCAATCTAATTTATCAACACGAACACGATAAGAATCTAAAATTAACACGATTAATTTTGAACTCGCACAAACAATGCAGAAACAATTACATCTCAAGTCCATATGTAAGATTTCAATAAGAGGTTTTTTTTTTATATCAACGGAAAGGGCTGTTGATTTTGTGAGAAACTATGGCTTCAATAAGAGGTTGATAGCTTCAAGTAATTGAATAAATTCCTAGGTAAACTCCTATCTTTTTGTCTTTTCTTTTTTTTTTCCCTCGAGTTACTATATTTTTGTTTTTGAATAAATTTCTCTATTTCTTTTCTTTCTGTGGCTTGTGGTATTTCGGGTTATTCACAAATCTCACTAAAGCGGATCCCACCGGTCAATGGGTGCGTAGTCAACACCATCAGCAAGTTAGCTTTAGCGTCCCGGCCTAACCCTTTCACCGACCCATCTCCAAATCTCTACGCTCCCAACGCCACGCCGGCGATTCCGGGCGTCTTCGTTTCCTCCGGCTCGCCACCAACCCACACAAACCCACGATGTCACGATACCAATCGAACCGACGAGTCCAAATCGACCTCGACCAGCTGGCTCGATTCGACGACGAAGAAGGCAGCATCAAACTCAGGCCGTCGGAGAGCAACGTGACGGAAGATCAAGAGCCGTTCATGGGCATCAAGGTCCGTAGAAAAGCCTCTCTCCATAGAGATTACAGGGGTGACTATCTTGATCTGCCTTCACGGCCCCACCTCATGAAGATTCTCGAAAAACAAGGTATGAAATATGTGATTAGATCTAATTTCAGAAATGGTTGATTTTCCGGGTGGGTGGAAGTGAAAATATGTCATGATCTGGCATCGATGGTTTCATTTGTTTTGGAATTCCCCCCTATGTCACTCCATTTGATTAGCCAATAGTTTTGACTGCTAGCTTTCCCCTAGTTTGGGATGAAAACTGTGGCAATAGGAGTGGTTGCGGAGGAATCCTTTCTTAGGATGCGGGAGTCTTGTTATAGGAAAGCTTTCTCTCAACTTACAGGTTTAATTGGGCGTACCCAGTAGACAAGGGTATACCATCTGCCACTCGTACCCGTGGAGGATGCTACTCGAACCCATGGAGGATGCTCCTACAACCCGTGACCTCAAAGTCATAATGGAACAATCCTACCGTTGCTCCAAAGCCCACCCGCCCGCCAACTTACAGGTTTAATTGCATAGCCCAAATGCAATTACCTGCCTGGATTCTGGCATACTCGCTGCATTCGTTTATATGTTCTTAGTGTTGATTGACAATTGTTTTATTAAAAAACAATCTTTGCGGATAGATTTTTGAACCATCTTTCCATTGTCAGGTGACAAGAAAGTTTTCTTTGCGGATAGAGTTTTGAAGTTCACAGGTTCAGGAAAGATGAAACAGCGTATTCTCCTAATTACTGATTTTGCTATTTACATAGTTGATCCGGAGACTGATGCACTCAAAAGGCGTATTGCCCTCGCGGCTGTCGAGAAGCTTTGTTTGAGTGAACTTAGCGATAATTTCTTTGCCATTATCATCCCAACTGAGTATGATATACTCATGGCTAGTACTCGGAAGATGGAAATCGTGACTGTGCTAATGGAAGCTACCAAGAGTGCGTCTGACTATGAACTTGAGGTGTTTTTATCCAATAGGTATGTTGCAATTATAAAGTCATTGTTGTGCTTATGATCGTACTTATGGATATCAGTTCTTTGATTTCTTTGGCCTGGTTGTATTACAAAGTTTTCATGTATGTGAGGACTGAGGAGAATGTTCTCTATCTACCCATTTGCTTGGTAGAGTGCCTAGAGACTTGTTCATGGTGTGCACATATGGGCTTTTATCAATGAAAATCCAAAGTTTTAGACAATTTTTTGAAATCTTCTCTGTATTAGAGCATTGAGCTTGTTACTTCTACTCCTGCTTGTTTATCACAAGGAGATATGCTACTGATTTTTCCTAGGGTGCTGACATATTTCTGGTCCGATATACTACAATTTATGACTGCTTACAGAAGTTGCATCTACCTATCGGAACAGGAATCTATTGCTTCACACCTATTGCTGATTCATTCTTTTTTGGATGAGCCACCTATGCTCCACCCTTTCTCTTTGCAATATTGCTTTATTTACCTTTTTTTTTTTAAATATATTTCTGCAGGTTTGAGTATCATGCAGCTTCTGATCTGGTGAAGGAAGTTCAATTTGAGCAAGTTGAAGGTTTGTGATACCATTATGTGGAAAAAAATTTGGTCCATGCGGAATAGCATTCCAGGTTTTGCACCTATGAATTTGGGTTATAATTTTTTCACAGCTTCTGAAAAGCTTCCTATATTTTTGAAATTCAGGTGGTGTAAAAACAAGAATAGTGCGGAAATGAGCTGCTTTAGTTTTGCTGTTTCCTGTTCTGGGGAGTTCCATCTTCTGAGGAAGTGAGTTGCTTTATTCAAGCTGTTTTTTTCCGTTTGTTTGAGACCTCCAATGGCATAGCCCACTGTGCAGAGGCCATTGATTCTTTTGTCATTGTATGTATATTTTCAGCATTTATCCCAACCTTACCAAAGAATGTAGCACATTATTGTTTCCATAAATGAAGTTGTGTATAATTGTTTCAACAGCAAACAATCTGATATGGATATACCACTTCTGATCATTTTGATGTTCTTTGAAATAAATATGAAACTGCGTGCAGCTGTGGATGTTGCCTACGATAAACATATTCTATTTACTTGTTTGGTGAAACAACCACATAGTTTGTGCACTTACACCTACAACATATTGAAGCGCTAGAAGTTTAAAGACTTTAGGCAGGTATCACCAACCCCAATAGCTTCAGTGGAACCTAAATTGACAGTGGGAAGTAGATGCAAAAGAAAATTAAGATTTGGGAACAGCCACATTAAGTTATTCATACACATTGGAATCCAGTAGGTTTAGGAATAGAAGTATAGATGTTTGAGGCTGAATTGTGTAGACACTGGAAATCAGAAAAGAAAAAACAGACAAACCCTCTAAAGATGCAGAGCTCTCTAATTGTTTTCTTTGGTGACTGAAGCATTGGTTGGAGAAATGTCTTTATAGAAGCATTTAGAAACAATCCAGTTCCAGTAGAAACGAGCAGAGAGAGAGAGAGAGAAAGGAGAGGTTTTCATTATTCAGTATGACTCAACCACATCCATAATAAACTCGGTCCCGATCAAATATTTCAGTAAACCAACCTGACTTTTGAACTTAGCTGGATCATGTAGGTAAACAAATCTTAGGCACCAATTGTGTCAAAAAAGAGCCAAGATACCCAGGCTGGAAATCTTACAATTTCTAGCAAGACAGACTATGGTACTGAAGAACTTAGAAAAAAGAAAGAGAAAAGAAATTACATCTCAACAACTAATTCTAGTACAAGAAGAATCTCTCTATGGAACAGAAGAGGATCCTAGTTCAGCCGCAGGTGGTGTCAGGACTGGTGTCGAACCTTCTTGTTTTGCTTCCATAGATGGTCGGTTTCCGGTGTGGACCCTTCTAATATCCTCTACTAGCTTCACTACATCAGGCATTTTCGGCCTCTGCTCTGGCATACTTGCAACACAAGTCATACCTATTTGCAACATCTCCACCATCTCCTCCTCTATATTAGGATACCTCAGAAGCTCTGCATCAAAGACTTCGGCAGTCCACTCCTCCCTAACAACAGAATTAACCCATCGGACCAAGTGGAAAACTTCATCGCCACCCGTGGCATGTATGGGGGACTTCCCAGTAAGAAGCTCAAGCAGCAGGACCCCAAAGCTGTAGACATCATACGCCTGGGACACTTTCCGGCTGTCTGTCACTTCTGGGGCTTGGTATCCTGCTCTCCGCATGACTGGTGAAGTCATTTGACTCATCAGTGTTGCCAAGCCAAGATCAGATGCACAACCATATTGTTGGGGGTTGAGGAAAATGTTTGAGGCCTTTATGTTTCCATGGACAAGCTTCCCACCACTTTGTGCGTGGATATGAGCAATACCTCTTGCTGCACCAATTGCGATTCTCAGTCGAGTTTCCCAGTCTAAAGGAGTCCGATCCTCACCTCTGTTAGCTGTGCAAAAAAATACCAATGCATTAGAATACAATGATCCTAGCAACCAAGTTAAAAATCACATATTATGGGCAGCACACTGGTAGAGACTGAGGACACAGTATTTCTGGTTCAGCTAAGATTCAGCTACTGTTGATTACACGGGATGTCCATCAATAGCAAATTTGAGGTATGTCAGGATAAAGGTTGAGAAAACTTAAATGCTGCTAATGGAACAAGGATAGAAAAAAAAAGGAAAAAAAAAAACTACCCTTACCAAAATTTAATCTGAATGTCCTTTCTGATGATCAGAATTGCCATAGAACTTACATTTAAAAGAGCCAAAGTCAAAGACGGTCATCCAAAGGAATACACCTCCTCAACCATTTTTACGAGGCTGTAAATATTGCACTTACATACCTCCTTAGGAAGTTTGACAATGCTTGAAGTATAACATTCATGGGCTCTTATATAAGGAATGAGTTTCATACCAGTCAATAGGTTCTGGTGAGTGGTGACCTTGTTCCAGATTGAACAAACGATAAGTTTGGTAGATCTTAAAAGATAGAGAATTCACATCTACAAAGCATATTACAGCTACAAGTGACTAGATATTGTTCAACATACCATGTAACATCGTAGACACGCTCCCCTGACTATAGTAGTCATAGACCATGAGCTTTTCATCCTTGGAATAGTAATATGCTCTTAGTGCAGCCACATTCTCATGTCTAATACTTCCAACGACCTCCATTTGCTGCCCAAACTCTCGTCTTGCCACAGTCACTTCCTTCAATCTCTTCACTACCACTGTGGTTGCTTCCTCCAATGCAGCCTTATACGTGGTGCCGAAGATTCCCTTCCCAAGCACCTCAGCAGAAGCTCTCAACAAATCTTCCAAGTCAAATGCAAAACTGAAACCATTGAAGATTACAAGCTTGCCATTCCCATCTTGCCTGCCGGAAACTGCTTTCTTTACAGACCCTTCTTTCTCCTGGGACTTTTTCGAGACCACCCCACTTTCAGTGTCTTTGTTTGAATAGCAAGCAATCAGCATCACGGCAAGTATCACAACGACAAACCCCAGAGCGCAGCCACCAATTATGATTGCCAGTATTGCAGGCTTACCAAGTCTTGAAGATTTGCTTGATGGTTGAGTGCTGGGTGGAAGAACTGGAGGAAATGAAGGAGATGAAATTTCAGAGGAAATAATATTTCCAAAGAAAGCCGAACTGGGAAATCTCCGAAGATTTTGAGGAACACTTCCATAGAGATTATTGTTGGATAGATCTAGCAGTTGGAGACTGGGTAAATTAAAATCGGGAATTTTACCAGAAAGCGAATTGTTAGCAAGATTCAAAGCAGTAAGGTGAGTTAATTCTGAAACAGAAGAAGGAATACTTTGATTGAAAGCATTGTTCGACAAGTTGATAATTGAAAGATTTTTCCAAACTCCAAAATGTAGGGGCAGTTGGCCATGAAAGTTATTGAATTGTAGATAGAGAGAAGTTAAATTCCCTAGTCTGGTAAAATCAGAAGGGAAAGGACCTGATATGCCATTGGAACTTAGGTTTAAGATCTGAAGTGCAGATAAGCAACTCAGAGTATCTGGAGGAAGTGGGCCGCGAAAGCCAATTCCAGGCAATCGAACGGCTATAATTCTAGATTTATCATGATTGCATGTCACTCCAATCCAGCTATTACAGACAGAAGAATTGTCATCCCAATTAAGAGGGCGTGAGAGATCAATGTTATTGTAAAAATCGAGTAAGGCTTGCTTATCTTCGATGGGTTCGGTTGTTGCCAGCCAGAAAAATGTTCCCAGCATGAAAATTCCCCAGAAAATGAACTTGATACCCATTTCCTCTCTCTCTCTCTCTGCTTAAGATCGATAGCCTCGCTTAGTAGCTCTTTCACATCTACATGAACTTGCAACAGGAACAAACGGAAAGAACAAAAGTGATGTTTCCCACACAGCTAATCAAAGAGCCTAATCAAAGTTGACAGTTACAGAAGAAAAAGGAACTCACCATAGTTCTCTGATTGCGTCGAAGACAAACCTTCACTACCCAGAACTTGCTAAACCACAAACCAATCAGGGTCAGATCTCAGCTATTCTTTCCATTTCTGAACCAAATCAAATGGAAATTCCAAGTGAATTGGCGAACAGAATGGCTACCAACAAGAGACAGTACATACATTGACTAGATACTTCAGATTTCAGAAACCAGTGACAGAGAATAGAGAGAAAGAGAGGTGCCGTACTGAATGGTGATGATAAATGTCAACTGTATTTGCTTGCGGAAGCAGAAAGGAATGGGATGATACTTCATACTTGGTGAATGGAAAGTGCTTTGAGAAAGCAAATTAAAAACTGTTTTTAATGATTTTTAGGGGCGCGAAGAGTGGTATTGCACGTGCAGACGAAGCGGAACTGCCAAGAAGAAGAAGAAATTATCAGACCTAGAAGAGGAGGAAAGTGGGTGAGTGAGTGGTTGGTGCTTGTGGGGTAGGGGACAACATTTCCACCATTTTCGCTACTGTTTAGCAGCTCGGAAGAGAAATCTACTATGAACAAGACATTGTTTGAGCTTCATTAAGTTAGGGTTTAGGGTTTAATCGTCTCAAAGACACTCCTTTCAGCCTCTCTGTAGCTGTAATTTGTCCTACTTATGCTGCTTAATCAGCAGTTCAGCACCATAACTTTTTGTCAACAAAAAGTAGTTAGGTATTTCGTTTTTTTTTTTTAACGGTGAAGGGGGTTTGAACTAGTTTACTTACATTTCGATTAATCTTTTCTTTGATCTGGTCAAAGACAAATTATTCACGCCGAGATTAAAGAACAAACTTAGGACATCTGTAAAAAAAAATCAAGGGAGAATTATACTTAAATTCTCTAAAGTTTATCATTTAATCACTTAAACTCTTTGATATTTGAAATATTACACACAGACTCCCTAAAATTTCTACGCGCGCAACACCTTACTGTAAATATATCCGTTAATAAATTACAATCAAACCCCTTAAATTTATAAACATATATTATTTAGAGCCCTTAAATTTAAAATATTATAATTAGACCAAAAATACTTTAATCATTGATAAAATATCAAATATTTTAAATTTTACGATTAAAATTCATGTTCTATTTATCTTTTATTAAAATAAAATCAAAAATAAAAATTTATTTTTTTCTTAAAAAATCGTAGTTAGTATACAATTATATAGTCTATCGGAATTTAAGTTGAACGACCAAATTAAAAAATCAAACTATCACAATTAAAGCTAAAAGATATTGTATCAATTACAGTTTGACCATTTATTTAATTTTTTAGTTTTATTCTAATAGATAGTATAATTATATACTAATTATGATTTATTTTTAAAAAAACTAAATTTTTATTTTTGATTTTATTTTAATAAATAACATAATAGAATATGAATTTTAGATGAAAAATTTATGTTCTATTATGAATGACTTAAACGCCTTATTTGATTTTTTAGTTTTATTCTAATAGATAGTATAATTGTATATTAATTATAATTTTTTAAGAAAAATTAAAATTTTAATTTTAATTTTATTTCAATAAATGATACAATAAAATAGAAATTTTACTTGTAAAATTTAAAATATTTAATATTCTATATTTGATTGGAGTATTTTTTGACTAAGTATAATATTTTACACTTAAAGGATCTAAGTATTATATACCTACAAACTTAAAAGGAGTTTAAATATAATTTATTAATAGATATATTTATAGCAAGGGTCTAAGTGTTACGCGCGTACAAACTTTAGGGATTTGTATATAATATTTCAAATATCAGGAAGTCTAAATATAATTCTTCCTAAAATGAATCCTCCTTAGTGTTAGAATTAAGAGTAGTTTGATTATTATTGTCGATATGGATTGAATTGTAATCAATTGTTCAATCACATTTCATTTATACTTGAACCAAATACACCCTTCAGGCATGTTTGTTTTGGGTACTAGTAGATGTGATTAGACTAAATAAGTTGAAGGCTAATTTAATATCATGTTATACAACCTAGTATTATAATGGGATTAAATATCGGCCAAGGTACTTACATTGTCAAATGATATCATATGCATATAATCCCTTGTGATAGGTGATATAATCCCTTGTGATAGGTGATATAAAATCACTTTTGATTGGTATTGAAGTTAGAGAGCTAATCAAAGTATCTCTAACTTTATTTTGGATGAGATTAGATGTTCGAGCAATTTCACCACTTTTAACTTAAAACCACACATTAATGTTGAATCCAAACATATATTTAGTATTACGACAAAAGACACACACACACACACATATATATATATATTTTATCTCAATCCTAAACCAAATATAATACAAAAGATTGATTATTATAGTCAGTATAAATCGGATTAGAATCAATTGTTCAACTCGTCTCATATTTTACTCAAACGAAACACCCCTTAAAATTTACTCTAATTTTTATTTTAGTCAATAAAATTTTATTTCTATCAATTTCATTTCCAAATTTTGTAAGGCTTGCACATTGTTTGCTATTTTGTGATATCTGATGATGCATAAAAGTAAATTTATGTATTACCTGTCGAGTAATTAATATAGATAATAAATGTAATAAATATAAAGATGAAATCAACAAAAATAACACAGATGTAGAGTAGTTTAATTAGGGTAACCTATATCACTTTGAAGGCGGCAACGGTAACGGAAAGACTTTATTGATAAAGTAACATATGGGAGAGAAAGAGGGGGTAAAAGTACGCTCAAGATGAGGTGAGGTATCTCCCTCAAACGTAAAAGACTTACAATTTATAGGCACAGAACCTTAATTGAGGCAGTGACGTGAGGGATATGTATAACTAAGGATAAAAATAATTACAGATAGTTTCAATGTATGAGTAGTGGTTATTCCGATAATTATTTTTCACATGCGCTGATTCTCTCGGGTCTCCTAGACTTCTGGACTGAACTGAACCCATGAACTGAACTTAACTTGTCTCTTGATGATTTGGGCTCAACTCATGAACTGAACTCAGACCTAGTCTAAATCTGGGCTCGTTATTTACTCTCACACCCCAATCCTAATAGTGATTGGAGGTTGAGGGCATAAGTGAACTCCTTCATTTCGATAGAACAAATATCTTATTTCATACGATGACTTCTTTAACTTTCTACTCCATTCTATTTTTGAAACTTATTTCTCTATTTGGTAATATCAAAAGTGAATTTATGTACAATCAACAGTCGAATATATAATTCAGGGCTAAGAAAACATGGACATGGATACGATATGACACGAACACGCTAACACAATTTTTTTTTTAAAAGTAGGATATAGACACGTTGACGATACTTTAAATAATATATATATATAATCATGCGACAAAATAAAAATAGTTACTAATTTTCATCAATTTTCAAGTGCACCAATTTGTAATCCCATTTTTTTCACATTAATTTCATATTAAAAGTTTATTCCATTTGTATATAAGTTCGTATTCGTATCCAAAATTATGTTACATTCATGTCTTGTACTCAATGTAATGATTATAACTTATTTTATATTATAATTGTGACTTGTATCCTTTAAAATTACAAAAATAACTCTAAATTAAAAAATTATCTAAAAAATTTTCAAAAAAATTGAAAATAAATCTCAAAATGTGTCCTCCAGTGTGTCGGTTGCTTGTCCCCAACGTGTTTTGAGCGTGTCGGTCGCGTGTCCCTGAAGTGTACAAAATGTGTCACAAAAAAAATTTAATAATAAAAAAATCAGACACTCATTTTAACGTGTCTGACATGTGTTCGAGCATGTCCAGAACGTGTCTATGTCCCAAGCGTGTCCGACACTGACACTTTGCTCAAAATGAAATGTCCGTGCTTCCTAGATTCAGGGTAATTAATGAAATAATCAATAAAATAATTAATAACAGAAAACAAAGATTGGGTCAACACAAATATAGAATGGTTCAAAGTGGAATAGATCACCTTGACTGAACTACAATATATATATATATATATATATATATGTTGTTTGTATTGATCTTTATATTTACTGTATTTATTATCTATATTAATTACTCGACAGGTGGTGCATAAATCTACTTTTGTATATCATCAATATCCATGTGAAATTTTTGTCAAAGTTTTTTCATGAAAGCAATGAAATTGGACTAACCAGAGGGCTGGTGAAGTATGATTAAGCAGGAAACTGTAATAGGTATAAGAGGTAAGGTGAATAGGGGCTGAGATAAAGATAATTTAATTTATGTTTAGGGAACATTAACAACAAATCAGAGTGGCGCAGCGGAAGCGTGGTGGGCCCATAACCCACAGGTCCCAGGATCGAAACCTGGCTCTGATAATTATAAAGATGGCTTCGGATGCTTCTTTTTCTTGTCCATCGTGGTGCACAACGACGTCACTTCGAAATAAAACGACGCCGTATGAAACATGTTAGTCATAAACTAAAGGGGAAACTACGGATTAGACATCGTAACTGATTGCTTCCTTATACTTTGAAAACATACACATAGGTTCCTTATAGTTTGGGACCAAATTAAAATTATTAGATTTTTCATCCAAATTAACAGAGAGTTCACCTCACGTGCCTAAAATATAAGGTTGGGTTGTTTCTTTCCAAAATTAATCATTTTTAAGACCAAAATACCCTTCAACAACTTCTTTCCTCAATTATCCAACAAATCATACCCACTTATGCTTTTTGTCTTGTTTCATCACCTTAGTCATAATTCAACACCCCCGTAAGCAAATTCATGCTTTAGAAACAAATTCTCATTGAATTCATGCCCTTGTTTTATAAAATTTACAAATTCAATTTCATTACCTTTTACCCATGATCTGTCCAATAACATATCACAATTTCATGAGCGTATCTTCT